CGCCCCCATGGGTCTAGCTCCAAAGTTTGTAAAAGATCTTCCCAAGCTTCTCTTTGGCCTCTCCGATTGCAATGCGCAGAGTTAATTTTGCTGCTTGGTATTCGCCGTAGCACCTTCTTTCTTCTTCTGGATCGCGTGGAGCAAGGCGTCTTCGACGTAATCGGGTGTAGCGGCGTCGGGCAACTACACAAGCCGTCCGTAGCTGGGTGAGTTCAGGCGACCACCAGTACACCTGTCGGCGGGGCGGAATAGGGCGGATCCTTGGCATTGCAGCGTCGTTAATACGCCGCAAAGCCTCTCCGAACCATTGCACCTCTCTATCTGCTAAGATAGTATTTGGCTTAGGGCACCACGCCTCTGTCAAAGATGCCAAAGACAGGGAGTCAAAGTCCAGTTTTTACGGGACCATTTTGGCCCTATTTCCGGTGGAGGCTGATTTGATCTACCAGTTGCTGGTGGTAGCTGTTGATGGGGACTCACCAGGCACCGAATGTACCTATGGTCCGAAAGCGTTTCAACCTCTGTAAGTACACGCCAGTTGGAGACGCGATGTGCTAGTTCCGGGGATGCAAAAGTTACATCAACGATAGAACTGCCCCTGCATTCGCACGCATGTGCGTTCCGATCCTCGATTCAATATCACCAGTTGTGAGTGGCGATCCAATCAACCACCGCATCGCCACGGGCTTCGGTTACCGGAGAGTTCCACATAGACGACTTCGCGTTGAGATCCCCTGCAACAATAACATTTAATGGTCGAGCCCATTCCACCAGGGAGCCCATTTCTGCCAGAAAGGCCTCGAACTCTGTAATACTCCGGTTCGGCGAAAAATAAGCTCCAATTACAACGACTTTTTCTAGTTTAACAGCGATACAGCCGTTTCCTTTTAGCGAGGCTCGAGGCAAGCCTTCAGGCAACGAAACGGCAATCGCAACTAAACCGTTGCGGTCGCCAAACCAGTTTTCCCTCTGGGGGATCACATACGGCTCCGATACTATTGTGATATTGATTAACCACTGCGCCATGCTCTGGAGTAAAAGATCCTGAGCTTTGGCGCAGTGGTTGATGTTCGCCTGTAGGATTTGGAGGGACATCTATAAACCAGGTGTTATCTCCATTTGCTCCGTGTCCCCGATCGGTGGGGCACCAGTGGCCGTTTTGTTCGCGGTCCACGTCCTTCTGGGCATCTTTTTGCTGGGGGCCGAACACGCGTTACCCCCCAGTAGATGGTTTGCTCTCTGGCCAGCCGCAGCACACAGAACGCATTGCGGATTTGCAGAGCAACTCCCTGCTCGGTGGTCAGATTGACCACACCGAAAACAAAGGTGACTGCGGTCCATATCTGCAGTACACCGTGCTGCTACATGGCCGCCCTGAAAGCAGCGGAAACATCTCAGTTCTCGGGCCCTCAAGAGAACAACTCGGGCAGAAGCCCATCCCACTAATAACCTTCCTTCGGTCAGCTTTCTGGCCGCCGTCACTGGGCACCTGACCCATGCCGCAAAAAGGCCAGTCCTGTTCTGACGGACGCTTCCGACCTTCACATTGTCCGGCGAGCAACTGACCTTAGAGCAAATGGCTTGTTTGACCTCTTCTGGGGTGATGTCTCATCCAGCCCCGAGATCATCAACTCAGTTGATTTAACAGGTCTGGAAACCCGGACTCTTCCCTCACCATAGACCTCCTTTAATCTAGACGCCAGAATATCCGCCTTCTCCTCACCACCTGTCCCGGGGACCTGAATGATGGTGGCCCCCGTGACAGCTCGTCTGAACCGGACCGCTTCTATACCAAGCTCCGCCAGATTTAGTTTTGTCTTCGCCTCTTTTAGGACTGCTACGTATGTAAGGCCTTTCTCTTCGGCATCCGGCGGAAGCGTTAAAACAACTGCTGCGGAACTGGGCGTACGGAGCTTCAGTTGTGCAGCTGTCGCCATTGCCTGTCTCTTAGGTTGTGCTGGAAGTTGTTGAGCACCTTCATTCTTCTTCCGGCGCAATCCTTTCTTTACCACCTTATTCCACGCTTCATTAGTAGAGCGAAGCTCTGGCAGTGGGCACGGTGGTGATAGAGGGGCAGCATTAGGGACAGTTGTCTCTGTAGGCACATTCTCCTGCCTTCTCTTATGGTTCTTCTTCTTTTTCTTCTTTTTCACGCCGTCCTCCGGTTGTGTTGCCACTGTATTCGAAGTGGGCGCTGCTGTCGTCTTTCTAACCTTGGAGGACCCCGTCGTTGTTGCCACAGCCTCCGGCTTATATTTGTCAGCGGAGAGAGGTGGTCGTATGCGAGGCTCCGGGTTGAGTCTTGGTTCTATGCTTTCTATTCTAGCATTGATCCTATCCCCAAGGCGGCTCATGAGCCTTGCCTCAAGGTCCTCTAAGTCCGGTGTAGGTACCGGTTCTGTAGGGCGTTGCTTTATTAGCTCTCGCAACTCTCCCATCTCTTTTTGGAGCGCCTCCAGAAAGTTTCGAAGCCGCTCGTTTTCACTTCGAAGAGCTCGCGTCTCATCCGAAACAGACATCTGAGCGAGTACCTCAGTGTCCTCTTTAATCGACTTAGCGACGGATTTGAGGGCGTGGACAAATGTACCCTTAAGATTTTTTGACTTAGTCGCGACTTTCTCTACCATTTGCAGATTAGCTTCGATGCGCCTCTGCGCTAGATCTGCCGTCAAAATTTCCCCTTCTGCATTCATTGCCGCTGGTGTTGGTGCGGGTTTACTCGGCTCAGTCAATGAAGCGAGGATCTCCCTCCCTCAGCCTGGGCTTCCTTTTCCGTTTTCTTGGCCTTTAAATAAGCAGACCTAGCAGGCGCCAAGCCCATGTACCCTCTGGATTTTGGTGGGCGGCCTCTTCCTCTTCTTGTTGTAGCAACTTTTAGTGGGGTCCGAACAGACGACTCACTGATTGTACTGTCGCCATCGTCTTCGCCACTCCTGGTTCGTTTGCGAGAACTCCAGAATCTAGGATATGTAGGGTCTGTACAATCCAATGATCTGGCGCTGACCATAGATGTCGCGGAAGAATCCGATAACCTCCCAGCATCAGACGTAGGCGCGTCGACTGGATGGTCGCCAAAAATGTCCCTGGAAACGCTCGGCACCGGCGTAATACATAAAGTGCGCTCAGGCACCACGGTCACTTCTTGTAATTCTCCCAGATCCGGGTTTATTGGTTGGTCCGTGGATATCATCCTACTATCGCATGTGTCTTTTCTAATAATTTTCTCCTCGCTCGCCTCGGCAAAAGCGCCGGAATCATGAAGATTGTCCCCCCCCAGAGTACGGTGGGACTTTTGCACCGGCTCTTGCGAGCAGGTGGCGGGATTTGACCCGCCTGGGGTAGTTTTACAAGTATTTGTCTTCATTTTCGCTTTAATTTTTATCCAGGTAAGACAGCTCACTCCTGGGACGCCCTCGGGACCGAACTCCCTCCGGCCACTCACCCCATCGCCGGGCGCCAGAAACTTGAGGTTAGGGGCTCGCCGTCAATTCGACGAGCCTCGCCAGCCTTAAAGGCCAGCCATACCACGCGCATGAAGCGCCGCTGGGGGCCAGATAGAATGGCCCCCCTCTATGTCCGATTAGCTTCACCAAGGTGCTGGTTTGCACCCCAGTTACTAAGCCCTCCCCGGCCACGTCAAGGGCTCGGACCCCGCAGGCTGGACATCTGCGGTGGGGAGGGATTTGAAAGCATACCTATTATAACGATATGTATGCTATCAAATAAATTCTATATGTAGTAATACAGTTCGTATTTGAACCCGTGACATGTATGTTAATTTTATTATTAATCATGCATCGGTTACTTTATTTTAAAAAGTATAAGAAATTCCTTAAATAATTTTATCGGGATGGTTTCATGGGGATAACGTATATTATTTATTAGTATATTAATACTAATACAGACTGTAATTATCGAGTAAAAGCATAAATTTTACTCCAAAATAGCTAGAAATACATACATACATTTTATATCATACAATTATTTTCAATTTGAGTTTTTATTTTAAGTTTAACCGGTTTCCTGGATTTAGTGGCCATGAGATAAAGTATCCACTCACGTAAATTTAAATTGTCTTTATCGCTCCCTCTTTAAGTGCTTTTTTAATTCACAAAATTATATGGTAAATTCAATGATATGGCTTTAAAGGCGAAAACTTGTATGTCTGTGTCCGTCCAAGCTCGTTTAACAATTGCCAATGATGGCACGGGTCTTAAATAAGTTCTGGGCGCGATACTCCCGATTATTTAAATCACACGGGTAAATACTAGTATTTCAAAAGGGAACATATGGTTTTTATTTGAATAAACTTAAAAACTATTAGATCGATTTCAAAAATTAATTTACCACTAGATATATAATTCTAATTATCCTTGATTTAATTATCCCTGAGTTACAATATTTCGAAAACATTTAAAGACACAACTTGCGAAGGTTGGACATGAGTCATAGGTTGGACAGCCGGCCAAACTTCGCCTGAAAAGAATAGATCGCGCGAAAGCAATACGGTCCCCTGCTGGCCTACTTATTATTAAATCATTATAAGTTGTACTGATTTTTGCAAGGAAGTGTTAATTAAATAAACAGAGTACAACATGGGTTTTATGTGACATCTTTTAAATTCATATTTTTTAAAGGTATCTCCGTTGATGAAGTCAAAAACTTGGTATTAATAAACGCAAATCTGTTATTTTCAATAATAGTATATTGAACCATTTCCACTTGAATTTTATTGTTTTGCTTTACACTATAAATCATCTAAGAGTACTAAAACTAAACCCTTGGAGACTACACCAAATCTACACGCCAATATTCTACGTTAGTTCGTAGTTCGGTCCTTCGTAGTTAGTATTAATTTAACGTATAAATATTTAGAATCTGTTTTATAAATAAAAATCTAGTTTTGTTTTACGATGCCTATATGATAATGATACAAAATAAAAATGTTAATGCAAGTAATATATTTTTATTATACGGCTAAATATAAATTAAAATTTCAGATGCCTGTTTATACAAACGAGGTCCACAACCGGGTCATATATTCGTTTTTGATATGCGTGGAGTTAAACTTGGACACATAACACGAGTTGGATTATTGTAAGTAGAATTTCTTTGACGTCATTGGCATACGGATGATAAAATATATAAGTATTTTATGCTTTAATAGTACAAACAACGCCAATCTAGCGGCTTATAATTCGTAATGACACATGAGTACTGTCGAAATGTTTGTGAAACATCAACGTTATTAGCCTTTAAAATGTCACAATTGCAACATAAGCATTATAACAGTGCTTTGAGTTACTATCGCCATCTGTTATGAAGAAATGGAAACATGGCCGCATTTGCCTGAAATTCGCCTGTAAATTTATTACTAGACAATTTCCTAACTAAATTTAAATCTAAAAACAAATATATGCCAATTTGTATGAATAGCTTAATAAAATTAACCAAACTCGAAACCTTTGAACTATTATTTTGTACTCAAAAATAATTACTACAAGATAAAGTAACCACAACTTATTTAAACTATTAGATTTATAACTAAAACTAATGTTTTAGCTTCCAAAAGGATAAACAAAGGTAATAATAATTACCGCCAGCTTCAATTTATTTATATTTTGCTTGTTGATGTTCGCTATAATAGCAATATTTTTCACATTGTAATATACTAAATAAAGTTAAAATTTTTGTAAATACATATTCGAAATCCATTAAAATATTACACTTCTAAAGACAACGACAAAAGCTTTTTAATTTATTTTTGCATGTCCTGCATGCTATGAATGGTTTTTATAAAAAAAAAAATTTTCTAGTCAAGCACTACATGAGACTAGGGGCTAATTCTAATTCTTAATGAAGCCACTCTTAAACAATAGTATGCTTAACAGACTGACCTAGAAAACTAAATTTATTGAAATCTTAAACACTATATTTAAGGTTAAACAAAAAAACAGCTTGTTACAAAAAAAGGTATATATATAAATAATTTTATAAATAAAGTAACAGCCAGAAGCATGTTTTACTTAATTAAAATTAACCTTGAATATACACAAAATTATGTATTCTAAGGTCAAATATGTATTGCACATTTTTATATTAAAAAGCATATTTTTTGCATTAGCTAAAACAGAGACAGATTATTTTATTAGAAATAATCTGTATGCAAATTATATGTATATAAGAATAAGCCAAATAGTTTTTTTTTAGTACTTATTTATGTCTACTTTATTTTTCATCCCGACGATATCGAGGGACGTGGGTTTTTTATATTTTTTGTGTGAGATATAATTATAGGATTATATTTCCAGGCCCCTGCGCAAGTTCTTTCAGTATATACAAGAAGCGATGCCAGTTCGTATGAAGTCAATACATGTGTTCAATACCGAACCGGTTATCGACAAAGTGATGATGCTCATACGGCCCTTTTTGGATAAAAAGTTCTTTGATATGGTAAGCATTTTTTTGATTAGCAAACCGTAGTAGTAGTTTTATTGTATTGTTTACTGTCATTATTTTAATTTGAGCGTAACATTCTCTGTCGAATTTACTTTTTTGTTGTTGTAATAAAATTTAACATTATACTACTAATCTACAACTACAATACAATACTGCGATTAAAAAGAGTGGCGGAAAGTTTCTTGCCAGTTCTTCTTACCCGCTCTACGACCTTGACTTGCGAACTGGTAGTAAATGTAAATTTACGATTAATTTAACTTGACGATTCAAAAGTGTACTTGGTTACCTACTTGAATAAAGATATTTTGAGTTTGAGTTTGAGTTTTGAGTTTGAGTTTACACGAATGGTAGGTATATTCTTCGTTAGAAACAAATATCCGATTGCATCAAAAAAAATGCGGGAATATTGCTATATAATTTATACGTATGTAATATGTATACTAATAGTTGCGAAACAATACTTCATGAAACCTAAAGAAACCTACGGCTACGGCTTTTTGGATTTCAACCTTTATTTCCCTACTAAGTTTTAGGTTGTAATTATGTTGAAGTTTAATTTATTATGTATTATCCTCCCCAGATAAAGTTCCACGCCAAAGAGGAAGATTTCGAGAATTTCTATGAAACTATAATCCCCAGATCGTCATTGCCTCCAGACCATGGGGGCACTTTGCCAGACACGCAGACGTTACACAAAAAATGCATACAACAACTAAAATCATTAGAACCACATTTTGCAGCCGAAGAACAACAACGAATTAATGCGCTTCCTGACAAAAAGCGTGAAAAACATATGGAGAGAGCATTTAAGAATCTCGATATTGATTAGTATTCAACGATCTTTCAATGTCAAGTTTAAGTTTTGCAGAAATCTTATGTTGAGCTGAGGGATTTTCCCACCTAGGGAAACTAATTAATTAAAGAACAAAATCTTGCTTATTTTAAATACTTATAAAGACAGGCGCAGAAAAAGTTTTTAATAGATACTGAAACTGGTTAAAACTCATTCACTTAAGTCTATAAACAAATTTCAAATTACAATTAATTCTTCAATACATTTGAAGACCATAGTACACACACATGTTGGTAGAATTTAGGAAATTATACACGGTGTATATAAATAAGTCGTACTTAGGTAGAAAATTAATATTTCAAGTTATCTTCAAGCTTGTGCTTAATTAGAAAACAGCATTTTTAATATTAGCTTACGATAAAACTTTTAGTGAATTAAAAATATGGTAGACCAATTGTCATTAAATATATATGTAGGAATGTAAAAATCATTTCAAACGTACAACGTTGATGTCAATTATATTTTGTGATTTGTATATTTTTGGAAATACAAAATTCTAAAAAAATCTTAATTAAATTCATTCGATCGTAATGTTTAGAAAGATATTTTCAAAATTATCTAATTAATACATTGTAATTTTATTCCTTAATATAAAAAAAAGTGTTTTAAAAGTGATAATAATGTGATAAAATATTTATGCATCAGAAAATATAATGAACTATGTATTTCTGAATTATGAGTGATAAATCAATTTTGTTAAGATAATATATTTTAAATATGCAAGCATATTAGAACGCGTGATTTTGCTTTAGAGCATGCAATAATAACATTGTTAGGTACTATATTTTATAAACTATTCTGGTACTTACATGCAGTAGATAATAAATAACAGTAGACATTAGATTAAATCTAAACATAATAGTATTTGACTCTTAAGACAAGATTTAGAGTCATACTTAGCTCTACGTCTCGACTTAAATCTTATCCTTACTATATTCTTAGATATATTCCTGCGTAAAATTAAATGTATTTAAATGTTTAATTAGACGCCTAAACTCATTGTTTGTCGTACTTAATTTTTTTTGGTATTAACTGTAGTTTCTCTGTTCATTTTCAATCGTCAATAAGATGCCGCTCTACATTAAAGTAAAGTTATTTAATATGGTACGGAATAGATAAATAACAGTGGTGTTTGTACTAATCCCAATGTTACCATTTCGGATCCATGTAGTTGATATCACATGCCAATATATTGATTAATGTTTCTAATCTCGCACCACTCTTAATTTTCAAGTTGCTACCTCATCTTGCTTTTTTGTCTATTCCTTGTGCCCGTTATAGATTTTCTAGAATATTTAGTGTTTTTATTAGTATGTAAAATTTTAAACTATTTAATTCATTTTAAAAAGGGGGAATTATGTACGCGCGTAAGAAGTTGTACTTCTTTGGCTTTCTTTATTTTTTAAAAATATTAAATAATAAATATTTAACGTTAATAATTTAATAATATTTATATTAAGTATATTATTCAATTATTAATTAATAATAATAATTATTATTATTTATTATTTTATTATATTATTCTTTCAATTTAATAACTAGGTATGTTTCATAACCTTTTAACTAAGTAATAATAGGTCTTTGTAAAAAAGAATTGCTAAATTTCTTTGAAAAAATAAAACTCCTTTATTTGTTTAAAAGGTACTACAAATGTCATTATGGTCATTCAAAATCTAACTTTACGCATATTCTATTTCTTTTTACTTGTAGATTGTCTTATTCCCATCTCGCTCGCGCACTCTCGGCGCAAGGCTGGTTTAAAAAGAATTCGTTAGTGGGCAACTTCATTCTGTTAATTTTGTGTCATGGTGCGCGAGTAAAGGAACGGCAACGGACTTTTGGTTTAAAAATAATTTATTTAAATCAACAGAGTGACAGCACTTAATTAAGAACTAAACAATAATCAACTTAATATCTATTTCTTCATGCATTTATACATTCAGATTTACTTACTAAGTATTGGTCGTTGCTGACGCACGACCTACATTCGGCTTAGTGCTAACAAAGCATATATTAATAGGGTTGGTACTCTTAACTCCTCCCTCCCTAAGAGAGAAATTATCCGAAGGGGCTAAAGGTGACTTCGGAGAATTTCTTTTATTGCAAATAGAATACAATTTAAACTTTAATATTATAACAATTACTATTATTACTACTATAAAATAAAGAACTAATGTCCATACACTTATGTTATGTGTCACCACACTTTCCACCACTATTTCACTATTGCTATTTCTCACATTATTTAACATTTCTTTTACGTCACTGAAGTCCACGTTTGTCAAATCTAACTTTTTATCTGCCGTTGCTAAATCTTCCTGAAGTTCGGGAATCACCACCAGTGGCATCTGTATATTCACATCCGATACATTGCTTGATTGACCGAAGATTGTTCTGCCAATTTGCATGTTGCACCCTTGACTTGGCGTCACGATGTAAGTCCCCAGTAAACTGAATCGACGGACGTCGTTTCTGCAGTGTTCCGACAAAATTATCTTATCTGCTGTGAATATCAACCAGCTATTGTTCATTATCTTCTGGATTTTTAGCTTCTCAATTCGTATTTGATGTTGATGACATAGGCTGTAATTATTCTTTATTAACATTAATTCCTCGATACATGTTTCCTCATTGTCTGTTGCCATATTTTCTTCTGAACATAAGTATTTGTTGTCTTCTATGCTCTCGCAAGGGCTCAACACATTTCTGTATTTCAAACCATTCACCAATAGGTAAGGATATTTAGGAATAATTGTGTAAGTTTTAGAGGATTTTGTTATAGGAATAGGAGTAACCTTGTAATAGTTATACGTTTCTGATTCTATCAAAGGAATTTCTAATACAAATACTAATTTATTCTTATCAATATAAGACTTTAATATAATATTACGTTCTAATTTAAGTAAGTTGTTTTTTGTTACTGGATAAATTGTTTGTGCATGTTTTTCTATCACTTTAAAAACACCTAATAACTCTGTAGAATTAATAATAGATTGGTGTAAGGTGTGCAATTTACTAAATGCAATAGCAGTTTCAATTTCTTGTATGCTCTCATAAATGTAACGAAAGTTATTTAGAATCTGGTATAAACTATTCATAGTACGAATGACATTACTAATTTTAATTTCTTTTTCGACTACTTTATCAAACTCATTTGTTTTAAAATGTAAATTTTCTATATTATGATTCATTATCTCGGATATATTGGCTAAAGTAGCAAATGCTTTGTGCATAGAAGATACTTTAATTTCCGTCAAGTGTTCTCTATTACTTATCTTACTAATTTCCTCATTAAATTTAACAGCATCTTCCTCGTCTAAATTTCCAGTTATGACTTTTACTAAAGAACCCAAAGGACTAAAAATAGCACGTTTCCTCATACTGTATGGAAGTAACTGGTGAAACTTATTTTCTACTATTTTAATTAATGTATCTATTTGAACTCTTATTACAACTAATTCCTTATCTAAGTGATTAACCATTATTAATTCATTTAATTTATTATATAGTTCTATATTATTACTTATTTGTATACCTAAAGTTTTAATGTCTACTGTTTTAAAAACTGTCCAATAACTATTCTTCATTACTGCTACTCCAAATTTCATTGGGATGATTCCTGGATTCTGGTCCATCTTTCGAAGTTCCAGGCTGTGGACTTGGCTCTCTAGTATCAGGAGTACTAGCCATGACCTGGGGAGGACGTTTTATATTTTTAGCAGCTCTGGTTTTTCTTTTATTCAACTCTACCGGTACAATGTTATGATTCGATTTTCCCACTACTTTTGCTTTCTCATAACGCGGCATTTCTTTAGCTTTTCTTGTTCTAGTAGTTTTCATGAAAATAGTATCACCTTCTTTAATATTAGATATTTCTTCACCACCTCTCTTGTTCCTAACTTTAATCTTATCCTCTTTTAATTTGTCCGCGACATATTCGTAAAGAACTTTTAGACGTTTCCTATTTGACACTGAATTAGCGGTAGCACCGTCGTCTGATATTTCTACAAGTTCTATCGGTTTCTCACATTCTGTGTCAGAGATATCCATTCGATTTTCATTTTCTAAATCAAACAATGACATATCGGGCTGAGACCTAGGGTTTTTGTTCCTAACTATCACAAACTCGTCATTAAGTTCTTGTATTACTTGTTGAGGTCTTTCGTCATTATCGTCAATATTAACCAAAGTCGAGTCGAGGTCATCGTCAAGAGCATTAATTCTTATTCTAGACGATTCATTATTCTTATTCGGTATTGTTGTGGCTATCATAAAAAAATTTCTTATCTGATCATGGTTTGAACTAGTCGGGTTCGATTCACAGTCATATGAACAAGACGGTTGAATATTATCAATATTAGTATAATTAACGCGTCTTGAACTGGCTGTTCTCATCGTAATATCGGTATTGGAGGTCGATGGCATGGGCGATTCTTGGTATTGTAATCCATTGTTCGTAAAATGCCGACGCTGCTGTGACGACGACTGTTTTACTGGTGACCTAAATACCGTGTTATAATTGTTTCGATTATTTAATGTTCTATCATTTCTAAATTGGAAAGAATTATTATTTGAACTATTTTGATAATTGGATGCATTCGAGTTCATTTGGACGTTATGGGTTGGAGAATTAAAATTATTAACTTGTCTCGGATAAAAATTCCTATTTTGGAACGAATTAAAATTATTATAATTAGGTCTAAAATTTTGATTGGACCTTGGGTTCTTACTATCATAAACCGTTTGAAAATTTTGTTCTTCCAACACGGTTTTTAAAGCATCTTCCAGGGTGGTAACATTACGTAGTCTCACTAATCTTACAAGATACGCTGGTAAATTAAATAAGAAAACGTTTAATGCCGAATTATTATATATTGCTTGTTTAGCCTGTCTTATTTCGGGGTTGTTAATGGTTTCATTTATTTTGGAGAATAAAATACTCCTTAAATGTTGAACACGATGACAGAAATCTAAAT